TATATTATGTTTGGTAGCAGAGCAGGTGTTGCGCAACTTAACATTAAGATCGACAACACTAATTACCAGACATAATGAGGGCAAATTCCTTGGCCTATACCTCGACAACAACCTAAATTTCAGCACCCATATCCAACACATAACAAAAAAAGTATCACTGGTGCAACATCTGGTTATCTTTATTGTAGACGTTTCGCTATCCAGTGGCTTTATCAATACAAATTCTTGGACATAATTAGAAAACAGAAGAACTATATACAAAAGATGAGGTAATCAGTCCCTCAGCCTTGGAGGTGGTGTTTACAACACCGTGGTTGTAGGGATTCTGAAGCACAGGTAAGGAGAATGGCGCTTATATAGGCATCACTGATGCCTATATAAGCGCCAGTCTCCTTACCTGTGCTTCAGAATCTATACAACCACGGTGTTGTGAACACCACCTCCAAGGCTGAGGGACTGATTACTTCATCTTTTGTATATAGTTCTTCTGTTTTCTAATTATGTCCAAGAATTTGTATTGATAAAGCCACTGGAACAGGTCGCTCCTGTCTGTCTCAACTATTGGATCACTACGACAAGGTCCTAAATGCACTAGAAGATAAAAAGAATGCAGATGTAATATATACAGACTTTGCAAAAGCCTTCGACAAGTGTGACCATGGCGTAATAGCGCACAAAATGCGTGCTAAAGGAATAACAGGAAAAGTCGGTCGATGGATCTATAATTTCCCCACTAACAGAACACAGAGATTGAACATTAAAATGGTATAAAATACCGACAGGTTGTTAGGTAAGACACATATGCAACAGTTAGGTATCTTTATTTTGAAACGTATGTGTCTTGAAATGTATGTGTCTTACCTAACAACCTGTCGGTATTTTATACCATTTTAATGTTCAACCTGTCAGACACTGCAACACAAGGGTATCTTGGTACAGACCTACAATCAACTTTTACAACCTCTACTAGTGAGAACGGCTGGATTTGAGAGGGACCTGACCTCCCAACATCTGAGTTCTTACCTCTCCTAGTGACCTACGTCTCACCTGTTGGCGCTATAAATAGGCTCCTTCCTGTCACTTCATCTCCATATTGTTTCATTCTATGGAACAATGCTCTCCAGACTGAGGGACTGACCACCTCAAAACTTTAAGGGTGATGGACTGATTACATCGTCTTCAAGTATCTTCTGCTTCTATCAACTTTTCTGTACTCGACTGAAGTAGCCTACTGTGTAGGCGAAACGTTTCAAAATAAAGATACCTAACTGTTGCATATGTGTCTTACCTAACAACCTGTCGGTATTTTATACCATTTTAATGTTCAACCTGTCAGACACTGCAACACAAGGGTATCTTGGTACAGACCTACAATCAACTTTTACAACCTCTACTAGTGAGAACGGCTGGATTTGAGAGGGACCTGACCTCCCAACATCTGAGTTCTTACCTCTCCTAGTGACCTACGTCTCACCTGTTGGCGCTATAAATAGGCTCCATCCTGTCACTTCATCTCCATATTGTTTCATTCTATGGAACAATGCTCTCCAGACTGAGGGACTGACCACCTCAAAACTTTAAGGGTGATGGACTGATTACATCGTCTTCAAGTATCTTCTGCTTCTATCAACTTTTCTGTACTCGACTGAAGAAGCCTACTGTGTAGGCGAAACGTTTCAAAATAAAGATACCTAACTGTTGCATATGTGTCTTACCTAACAGAACACAGAGAGTAGTCGTCAACAGAGTAAAGTCCGAGGCAGCTACGGTGAAAAGCTCTGTTCCACAAAACGAGAGATGCCAAGCCCATGATGATCCTTTTCAAATCACTTGTTCTCTCTAGGCTGGAATACTGCTGTACATTAACATCTCCATACAAAGCAGGTGAAATCGCAGATCTAGAGAGTGTACAGAGATCCTTTACTGCACGTATAAGTTCTGTCAAGCACCTTAACTACTGGGAACGCTTGGAAGCACTTGACTTGTACTCGTTGGAACGCAGGAGGGAGAGATATATCATAATCTACACTTGGAAAATCTTGGAAGGAATGGTCCCAAATCTGCACACAGAAATCACTCCCTACGAAAGTAAAAGACTGGGCAGGCGATGCAAAATGCCGCCAATAAAAAGTAGGGGCGCCATTGGTACACTAAGAGAAAACACCATAAGTGTCCGGGGCCCAAAACTGTTCAACAGCCTCCCATCAAGCATTAGGGGAATTGCCAATAAACCCCTGGCTGCCTTCAAGAGAGAGCTGGACAGATACCTAAAGTCAGTGCCGGATCAGCCGAGCTGTGGCTCGTACGTCGGACTGCGTGCGGCCAGCAGTAACAGCCTAGTTGATCAGGCCCTGATCCATCGGGAGGCCTGGTCATGGACCGGGCCGCGGGGGCGTTGATCCCCGGAATAACCTCCAGGTAACCTCCAGGTAAGGCACAGTACTCGCTCCCATCTTGTTCCTCATCCTCATATCCGACATAGACAAGGATGTCAGCCACAGCACCGTGTCTTCCTTTGCAGATGACACCCGAATCTGCATGACAGTGTCTTCCATTGCAGACACTGCAAGGCTCCAGGCGGACATCAACCGAATCTTTCAGTGGGCTGCAGAAAACAATATGAAGTTCAACGATGAGAAATTTCAATTACTCAGATATGGTAAACACGAGGAAATTAAATCTTCATCAGAGTACAAAACAAATTCTGGCCACAAAATAGAGCGAAACACCAACGTCAAAGACCTGGGAGTGATCATGTCGGAGGATCTCACCTTCAAGGACCATAACATTGTATCAATCGCATCTGCTAGAAAAATGACAGGATGGATAATGAGAACCTTCAAAACTAGGGAGGCCAAGCCCATGATGACACTCTTCAGGTCACTTGTTCTATCTAGGCTGGAATATTGCTGCACACTAACAGCACCTTTCAAGGCAGGTGAAATTGCTGACCTAGAAAATGTACAGAGAACCTTCACGGCGCGCATAACGGAGATAAAACACCTCAATTACTGGGAGCGCTTGAGGTTCCTAAACCTGTATTCGCTGGAACGCAGGCGGGAGAGATACATGATTATATACACCTGGAAAATCCTAGAGGGACTAGTACCGAACTTGCACACGAAAATCACTCACTACGAAAGCAAAAGACTTGGCAGACGATGCAACATCCCCCCAATGAAAAGCAGGGGTGTCATTAGCACGTTAAGAGACCATACAATAAGTGTCAGGGGCCCGAGACTGTTCAACTGCCTCCCAGCATACATAAGGGGGATTACCAACAGACCCCTGGCAGTCTTCAAGCTGGCACTGGACAAGCACCTAAAGTCGGTTCCTGACCAGCCGGGCTGTGGCTCGTACGTTGGTTTGCGTGCAGCCAGCAGCAACAGCCTGGTTAATCAGGCTCTGATCCACCAGGAGGCCTGGTCACAGACCGGGCCGCGGGGGCGTTGACCCCCGGAACTCTCTCCAGGTAAACTCCAGGATGGCGAAACGTCTACAATAAAGATAACCAGATGTTGCACAAGTGTCTTAACTTTCATCTTGTCGGTATTGTATACCTGTCTTGCACAACTTGTCAGGCACTGCAACATCATGGTAACTTGATTCAGAGGACATCTACATGACCTTCTTCACGACTTCTACAACTAGCCCATCAATTTGGGAAGGACCTACTTCCACTGGGAAATCCCCCCTACCAGTGACTATGCCCTCGTCTGCTACACGTCTCTCTTCACTGATGCCTATATAAGCGCCATTCTCCTTACCTGTGCTTCAGAATCTCTACAACCACGGTGTTGTAAACACCACCTCCAAGGCTGAGGGACTGATTACCTCATCTTTTGTATATAGTTCTTCTGTTTTCTAATTATGTCCAAGAATTTGTATTGATAAAGCCACTGGATGGCGAAACGTCTACAATAAAGATAACCAGATGTTGCACAAGTGTCTTAACTTTCATCTTGTCGGTATTGTATACGTGTCTTGCACAAAAAAAGTATCCAAAACGGTGGGGATCCTCTCCAAGATACGATACTACGTGCCGCAAACTGCCCATCTCACACTATACCATTCACTTATATATCCATACCTCACCTATGCTATCTGTGCTTGGGGTTCAACTGCAGCGATACTCCTAAAGCCAATAATAACCCAACAAAAAGCCGCAGTAAGAATAATCACTAAATCCCATCCCTGGCAACACCCCCCTCCCCCACTCTTCATGGATCTAAACTTACTCCCTGTTCAGAACATCCACACTTACTACTGTGCAATCTACATCTACAGGACCTTAAATTCCAATATTAACCTTGACCTAAAATGCTTTCTTGATAGTTGTGACAGGATCCACAGGCACAACACCAGACACAAACATCTCTATGACATTCCCCGTGTTCGACTAAACCTTTAGTAACAAAAATTCAATGTATTTCAAAGGACCTAAAATCTGGAACACCCTACCTGAAAACTCTAGAACTGCAGACACATTCATCACTTTCAAAACTACAGTTAGAAAACATCTTATCTCCCTGATACACCCCGACAACTAACTACATGATAACCACCTGGTGGTTCACAATTACACTCACTCGCCCTCTGACTATAAACCCAGAAATACTAATCTTAATCTTAAAATAATAAATCCTAACTAGTCATAAATTTGCCTATGATACTCTAATATATAGACACTTTGTATTGTGCCAAAACAAAAGCATTCACATTGCTAAACTCACAAATTATGATGTAGTCACTTAGCCTTAATACCATAATCTGTAAGGATTTAATGTTAAGAATTAATCTAAGTCTGCCCGAAATGCCTAGCCATGCTAGGTGTCCTAGTGGCCCCCTCTGTAATTAGTATTTTATAACATGTAAACCACACAATACCCAAAACCTGTAAACCCCACATTGTAACCCTTATAGAGAATAAACTTGAATTAATTGAATTTGTGCCATTTGCTGTGTTTATTACACTGTTTGAATATAGTTTTTGTTTCCAGTTTTTGATATCTGCATTGATACGGTTGATATCATTGGCCATATCAGTAGTAGTGTTAGTGGGCTTGTTGCGGCGGCGATGGAAAGTGGGCAAGCAGTTCTTCTATGTGAAGCCTCGCCCCACTCCACCACCAATCCTCACTGACCCTCAGTGGGGCACCCATGCTTACGTGGACCTGAAGGTATGTCATATATACTTACATGAACTTCTTGCTGGGACTTAGTTGTACAAATATGAAGGGGCACTGTATCCTCAGACTGCTTGGAGTTTTCAGTAATAATAATAATAATGGAACAGTAAGAGAAAGGCTATTGAAAAATAGATTTAATGGGTACAAACACTACTTAGTCCACTGTTACCGGCCCAACTCTTTTATAAAGTCTAATTTCTTTTTCTATCTTTCCCCTTTCCTCTCCTCATTCTATTTTTCTTTTATTTTCCTTTCTCTCCTCTTACTCATTTGCTCTATCTCTTCAATTTAACCTCTGCTCTTAAACTCCCCTTTCTTTCTTTTTTTCTAACTTTCTTACTTTCTCCTGCTTCCTCATTTCCTTAGCCTATCCTTATAGTATCTTCTCCTTCCTCTTCCCTGGCTCTTCCCTCCCTTTTACCTCTCTTCTACTTTCTTTCCGTCCCTTATCTCACTCCCATTTTTTTTTTCATCGAGATAGAATGTACACACAAGTATTACAGACGAGAATCAATTTGTAACTTGTCATGATTGTGACCAGACCTACCTGGAGTTCATTACCTTTGTAAATTGTGAGTTCATTACCTTTGTAAATTGTGAGTTCATTACCTCTGTAACTTGCTCAGCTATCAAAACTTTGGAGTCCAGTCCCTGGACCAATTATGTACCTCTGTAATCTTTTGACTACCGCCCACAGGATGGGTATGGGGTGCATAATAAACATATTAAACTAACGAGAATCAGTAGTATATTTGGCGACCTATATGACAGAAACTGCACAACTGGCACGCAGCACAAAATGTTATACTTTATACCGCCCACCATCACATATATACCCAAAAGTTTGGAAAAATAGGTACTCTAATGGTTATAATTATAACCATAAATTTTAAAGGGGTGGACCGGTAAGCCATCGGAAGGCCTCGGTCATATGACCGAAACCTCCAGCTGCGGGTCATCATATGACTGAGACCCGCGTCAGGAAACATTTGCCCTGTTTCTTGACAAACCTTACGTAACGTAACTTAACCATAGATATCGATGAATGTCACATTACTCCTGATACCGTTTGCTGTCTACTTGCCGATTTGTTTATCAAAAATGACGGACACACTAAACACGTTGTATGAATAATAGCCTCAGATTTGCACTTATTGTTTATTAAGAAACTTTATTTCTAAGCTTCCTCGTGAATACAATACTCATAATATTCCCCCCCCCCTCCCATATGTGTTGAATGCTAGAAAGTGTCTTAACTAAAGTTACACTGCAGGAACAGGGCATCAAGCTACATTATGTAGAGGCTGGCGACCGCAAGAATCCACTCATTGTCTTCGTTCATGGCTTTCCTGAGTTTTGGTTTTCATGGCGACATCAACTTAAACACTTTTCTCAGAAGTATTGGTGAGTTCTGGAGCAACGAGACAATATGGAAATCCTCTCAACCCAATCCTGGGCAATGTGTTAATGAAATACTTTAAGAGCACATTATTACTCTGGATATTAGCTCTTGATCTTCCTAGTATGCTATTCTTATTCTTCTAATTATTAATCCTGAATAATAATTTACTTTTGATGCTACAGGGTGGTGGCAGTGGACATGCGAGGCTATGGAGAGTCTGACAAACCTTCATCAAAATCGCAATACAACACTGACCTCCTCATTCAGGATCTTCGCTACTTTGTCCTCGCCTTAGGTCAGTATTCTGTGCTTCTTCGTCCAGAATTTCCACTACCTTGTCCTCGGCCTATTTCACTATTGTGTTTCCTTGTTTTCTATATCTACATTTGCCTATTTGTTGTAAAAGAGAGCATTGGCATAACCACTCTGACTTGCTTAATGAACGAAATTCCTTAGACAAGTGTCTCCGTGACACTAAGAATTAAACATATGTGCAACACCTAGGTCTGTATCTGAGACGTTTCGCTAACCAGTGGCTTTTGTTATTCAGTGTAGAGATGCTGTACAAATGCAGGTGACGAGGTAACCAGTACCTTAGCATAGGCTGAGGAACTAATTACATCATCAGTGTTATGCACGGTAGTTATATACAGTTCACAAGGGGGTTAGGTGATGATGGGAACATTGTTGGCAAACACTACTCTTAATGTGAGGTGATTTACGCAGGTAAGCAGTGTACGCTGGTGATGAACGTTATTGTTAATGCAAGGTGGTTTTCACAGGTAAGAAATGCACACTGGTAGCTCATGACTGGGGTGCGGTACTAGCATGGCAGTTAGTCACTCTGCACCCAGAACTCTTCACCGCCCACATTTCTCTCAATGGACCTCACCCAGGTGCCTACCAAAAGTACATTAGGAAGTCTTTCACACAGCTCCGTATGTCTTGGTGAGTTAAACTGCTTGCAGGGGTCGAGTCACAGAGTTCAAATTCTGGTACCTGGGCCTCTCTAATCCTTAATAGACACGTAATTCCTCTTATACGTATATAAATCTCCCATCAAAAAGGAGGCACACCTCCTCCCATGGGAGACTTAGGTCTCGAGATACTCCCCAGATAGGGAGCCAAGGCCGGGTCACCACTACTTGGAAAAGACCCGGGCCGGGAGAGTACCGGCGAATAAAAAAAAAAAAAGGAGGCACATTGTAGCTGAAGGGCTCTTGAGCCAAAGAACGGCTCTGGAATCTAACCTACTTTATACTCCGCATAGAAGTATCCTTTTAGTTTTTATAAGTTTTGGCATATGAATATATATTTTTGACGTGTGCTAAACTTTGCACCACTAGTTTTAAAGTATCCATGGAGAAAATTGTTGTTACATACCCTAAACTGCACTGCTACAGTGGGACGCTAATTGGAGTCTGCTTGATTCTAGAAATGTATGCAAAAAAAAATCTGGTAGCAGCTACATAAATTGTGTTTTCTAAGATGTCATCAATGACTGGCAGGTACATCTGTTTCTTCCAAACACCATGGATTCCGGAGCTGATGCTACGATCACATGACCTTCAATCTCTAGAGAAGATGTTTCGTGGTACCAAGAAAAATGTACTTGCCTTCCCTGATGATGTTATAGAAGCTTTCAAATACTACTACTCTCAGAAAGGTCAGTTTTCTTACACCAAGTTAGTGGTTCAGACTGTACAAGGCATCTAGAATGTTCAGTATTTATCAGGTTCTAGTTCAGTATGATTCCGCTTTATCTTGGTGAACCCTTAAGAGTGGTTCATTGATGCTGGTGGTCTCTTGAACCAAGAAATTGGTGATATCCTCCCCTTTCTCGAATCAGAGTTAATTACCTCCCATTACTCAGGGACAGTATGGCCCTTATGAGTCTGGCACATATCCTTGATAATGTTAATCTTAGTAATCTGGTCTTATCTTGTGATCTAAGTAACGCTCGGCCAACCTCATAATACTGGAACAACAACTCTGAACTCTATGAACTAAAAGATTTCGAATCCTTATAATTTTATACTTATAGTATTTAAGTTGATATTTTTATATTTATTTATTTTTCAACAAGTCGGCCGTCTCCCACTTAGGCTGGGTGACCCAAAAAGAAAGAAAATCCCCAAAACGAAAATACTTTCATCATCATTCAACATTTTCACCTCATACATAATCACTGTTTTCGCAGAGGCGCCCAGATACAACAGTTTAGAAGCATATACATATAAAGATACAATATAAAAAGTGACCTGAAATAAACTTTACAATATCAGGGCCCCAATTATATATATACTTATTTATATATTTATTTATATGCATTTAATAATATATACAACAGTATTTACATGTGGCTTTATGTGCTATAGTTAGTTTAGTCTGTCAACTTTACTCCTTAAAGATTAACAAATTAGGTGTATACAGGTCTACACTGAGATATATACTTCTTGGTGTATATATCGTGTTTATTGTGTTGTCTTTAAAAACATATGTAATTGCACATGAAAATGTGTTAGCTGTTAAACAGTATTAGGTGTGTCCACTCGCAAAAGTTCTCATATTAATATTGCATTTCTTTGTAGCTTGCTGATATATTTGGCACAGTTAATTCCCATACAAATTTTGTAGCCTATAACATCAAAGTGCGTATGTTCGATCCTAGTTGATAAAAAAAAGTCCTCTGTAATATTGTTACACTCAGTAAGTTCACCAAAATATATATTTGGATGTTCTCATGCATTCCAAACTTGCATACTGGCTCCCTAAACTAAATATGATACTGGGCTTTGATTTAGCTTTAAAAATGAAAGCAAGTGCATTATTTACCTAATTTATGCTTACTTGTAGAGAAAAAAATCGTTGTCACTTGAAGTAACAGTATATAGTTCTGAAGAAGAGGTAGAGCCATCATCCTCATATATTTCTCCTGAAGAAAAGATACTCATTAACCATTCCCCTGCAGGAGCCTTCACTCCTCCAATAAACTACTATCGCAACATTGTCATCGGTGATTCCCGGAAGCTACCAGTGTCTAAGATCCGAGTGCCCACGTTAGTCATTTGGGGCACAGACGACTTGGCGCTTAGCAAGCCCCTAGCTAAACTGTAAGTGTTTTGTCCTGTGTTCATCACTCATAAATAAGATTTACGAAGTTATTGATGTTCTAGTATTGTATGATTAAGTAAATCTTGGATGCTTTGATGGATGTGTTATTATTCTAGCATACGTAAATGAGTGAATGGGAGAAGACAGTGACAGATGTTAAGGAAGAATGGAGAGAGCTAATCGTAAATACATTTTAAGGCTTGTAATCTATTCTGTGCAATTATCTGTATTTGGTGACCAACGTTGACTCCCAGTCAACGCTGAAAAGGAATGAAGTGAGTGGAAATTTTCAACAGTTGCTTTTCTTTTTTTTGAGAGAGAGATTGATTTAAAGGGGTGTGACGTTCATAACGTCTGGTATGATGTATTACTTATACCGTATGACAGATACTGTCCATAGAAAAGATAATGTCATTCATTATTCTGTTATAACCTGCAGGTCTTCACAAGAGTGTGAATCTGGGGAGTTGAAGTTCGTGGAAGGAGCGAGCCACTGGGTGCAACAGGACAGTCCAGACATTGTCAACACGCTCATCCAACAGTATCTTGATTCCAACCCTAGCAGCAAAATTGAATAAGTTATCGCTGATATCTGTTTGCTGAAGCATATCGACCTCGGTTGTCACAAATTTGACTTATGCTACAACAAAAAATATACAATAAGTCTTGAAAAGAATATTTATTTTTTATATGGCATCCTTCAATGTGGGCATAAATTTTAACAGTTTGTCCCAGACTTTGACCAAATATTTTAGGATTGCTCTTGACGTGTAAATATTAAATGCCCTGAACAAGAAGCAAATATCAAATGTGACTCCCAAGAGGCTGATAATAAATGTCCTTATCCATATATCTGGCCTCGTTCAGGGACAAGAAGCCCTGGGATAACATTAATAAATCTCCATTGCCTCTCACTTGATGTTGCTTGGTTGACAGTACTCGAGCAGAGCTGGGAAAGGTAACACACCATAGGTATAACCACCAGCCCTGTGGGAAAAGTCATATCTTGGGTGCAGATACCTACACTGAGAGAAACTCAATTCCTGCTCATCCTGTGAGTGGTTAGTTTAATATGTTTATTATGCACCCCATACCCATCCTGTGGGCGGTAGTCAAAAGATTACAGAGGTATATAATAGGTCCAGCTACTGGACCCCAAAGTTATGATAGATGAACTAGTTACAAAGGTAATAAACTCCAGGTAGATATGGTCACAATCATGGCAAGTTACAAAGGTAATGAATCAGCCTCACTCCTATACATGGTTACAGTTATGAACAAATTAAAAAGCAATGAGCCACTGATACGTCCACACCTGGTCACAATTGTAATGAGTTATAAATACAAATATTAAGTGGGTCATACACCCACACGAGCGCGCGCGCACACACATGCACACACGAGGGCGCACGCACAGACACATGCACACGAGCGTACAAATATATGAATACACACAAGCACGCGCGCACACACTCCGAAGTGTCCCTGTTTGCAGATGACGTGAAGCTGAGAAGAATTCATTCGATCGAAGACCAGGCAGAACTACAAAGGGATCTGGACAGGCTGCAGACCTGGTCCAGCAATTGACTCCTGGAGTTCAACCCCACTGTGCAAAATCATAAAGATTGGGGAAGGGCAAAGAAGACCGCAGATGGAGTACAGTCTAGGGAGCCAGAGACTATAAACCTCACCAAGAAAAAAGATCTTGGGGTGAGTATAGCACCAGGCATATCTGAAGCACACATCAACCAAATAACTGCTGCAGCATATGGGCGCCTAGCAAACCTCAGAACAGCATTCCGACATCTTAATAAGGAATCGTTCAGGACCCTGTACACCGTGTACGTTAGGCCCATATTGGAGTATGTGGCATCAGTTTGGAACCCACACCTAACCAAGCACGTAAAGAAACTAGAGAAAGTGCAAAGGTTTGCAACAAGACTAGTCCCAGAGCAAAGAGGTATGTCCTACGAGGAGAGGTTAAGGGAAATCGACCTGACGACACTGGAGGACAGGAGAGATAGGGGGGACATGATAACGACATACAAAATACTGAGAGGAATTGACAAGGTGGACAAAGACAGGATGTTCCAGAGATGGGACACAGCAACAAGGGGACACAGTTGGAAGTTGAAGACAGATGAATCACAGGGATGTTACGATGTATTTCTTCAGCCACAGAGTAGTCAGAAAGTGGAATAGTTTGGGAAGCGATGTAGTGGAGGCAGGATCCATACATAGCTTTAAGCAGAGGTATGATGAACCTCACGGTTCAGGGAGAGTGACCTAGTAGCTTCCAGTGAAGAGGCGGGGCCAGGAGCTAGGACTCGACCTCTGCAACCTCAACTAGGTGAGTAAAACTAGGTGAGTACACACACACACACACACACACACACACACACACGTGGTAATGCTTTATTTACAGCTAGCAAAGTCAGGGCATTTCTCCAGAATGGTCTGTAATATACCACTGTGGATAAAATACTTTGCCATTTCTTGAACATTTCTGAGTGAGTTGTCTCTAAATTCATTAATTTTATCGCACTCCAGTACATATTGACGCAAGGTGTGACAATAGTCCATCTGGCAAAGTTTATATTTCGTTTGGTCTACATCTGGAGGTGGTGATTTAACCTGCCATAGATACTTGTAACCCAGCCGGAGCCGGGCGGTAGTGACATCCAAGAGTCTGCTGCTTATCTTGTTCAAATTCAAATTCAAATTCAAAGTTTATTCTCTATAAAGATTACAATGTTGAATTTACAGAATTTGGTTGTTGTGTGGTTTACATGTAGTTAAATAATGATTACAAAGTGTACCACTAGAACGCCTAGCATGGCTAGGCATTTCGGGCAGACTTAGTTTAATTCTTTATTTTAAAATATTACAAATTATGAGGTAAGTTGGTATTATGGCTAAGTGACTAAATACTAGTTTGTGAGTTTAGCAATGTGAATGGTGCACCATAGACATGTGGCTCCTCCTGCATGATGGAATGATGATAGATGGACTGACTTGTGTCAATCTCCCTAAGTCTTAAGTCAATAAAGTTCAATTGAAGTTCTTTTCGTATTATTGTTCTCAAACTGCTAACTGACAACCCAAGATCGTAATCTACTCCCTCTTTGAAAGCATACAGCTTAGCCAATTTATCAGTTCTATCATGCATCTGAAGACCAATGTGAGATGGAATCCACAGCATGTGCACTCTGACTCCACTGTCCACAGTCTCACCATGCCACAATTTATACTTATTGAGTTGAGAGCATTTATGGATGACAGAGAATCAGTTACAATTAAAGTATCAACCTTAGATACATGGACGCATTTGAGAACCCAGTATGTACAATTATATCTTCAAGATATTAGTAATTTCATATACGTATTATAGTCTCGTCATTTAGCCGATCATCTTCCCAAAGCAATACGCAGGTATAGTTAAAAAATGTCAGTATACAAAACAAACAATTTACATTATGCACAAACACTGGTGCTGGTCTCGCAGTCCTTGACCCTACACAACCTTCGTGCCATCATCAAGGAATCCTTACCCCACCCTCCTCTGTTGCAAGGAATGATAGTGATAATAACAATGTCTGCAACGTTAATGAGGATGAAAGTAATACGGTGAGAGCTCCTTTACTCTGACCTATCTTCCCTAACGTTGCATGATGCAACTCCCTCTACGCACAGATTGCCATACAACCCTTATAAGAGGAGGGGGGGGGGAACTTAAGAGTTCCACGGAAAAGGGTATGCTAAATAAAACGAACCTTGTCTGCATCCTTTTTAGTCAACTTCAATATGCTGATCAACTTAATGGTATCTAGGGCTACTACAATGCCATAAAATACATGCTAGCTCCCAATTCCTAGGTGAAACATTACATCAGTTATTAAAACACTCCCCGAATTCAAACACTCCCCGAATTCCACTAAGTAAATCTTTGACCCACTGATTTCATTTATCCCCAAGTTTCCTTTTCTGGCTTCAACCACAAACTTACAAACTCTTACATGCGAAGTTACTTTCTTATAAACCTCTCATGAATAAAAGAAAGCCGAGAGGCTTAAATACCATAGTTTTAGAATTTATGTAGAAATCTCTACTTTAAATATATTTTATTTGTATGTACCTACCGAGATGTTAACTATGGACTTCCTGCCTTGAACTAAACCAGTGCTCACAATATTCCTTGGTGATTACAGTGCTCGACCAAAAACATTGGTGAGTCACAGTAAGGACTGTGGGGGTATCTGAAACTCAAACATGTTTATAGCAGCATCCTTAAAACCTGTTTTGGTTTTCCCATTGCCTTCGCCTCCAGTGGGTCGCCTGTTGTAAGATATTTCATCAGAACATTTATCAGTATTAACTACTATCGGTATTGGAAATAAGGCAACAATAGTGAGGAGCAACCAGAAGCCAAGGACCAAGAGAGATAGGTGTCGTCTACAAGGCTGTTGTTGAGAAAGTGAGGCCAGGGCATCTGCCTATGGCCTCTCTCCACTTTCACATCGCGGGGACCACAAACCCAAGCACACTGAAATCGTGCCTTGGTGGAAATTACAAAATTATTGAGAGGTACCTGGTTACAGGATAAATCACTGTAACATCTCACAGCTTTTCTCTTACCTGTTGAACCATTTCACGTAAACCCAGTCTCAGGAAAGTTAAATATTAAGGATCACTTGAAACACAGTATTTCAATATTTAACTTAATTTAATATCTTTATTAAGCACCCCATACCTATCCTGTGGGCGGTAGTCAAAAGATCAGAGGTACGTAATGGGTCCAGGGACTGGACCGCAAAGTTTTTGATAGCTAAACGAGTTACAGTGGTAATGAACTATTTATTTGTCCGAAATGCTTGGCATAGCAAGGGGCTTTCTGTATGTCATTGATGTCAGCTAGGCCTGTATACCTTGTACATGTACTTGTAGAAATGAAGATATTATATCTTGTTACAATCGTAATGAGTTATTTATGCCTACATGAATTCTCAAAAATATTACAGTATAGCTTTTATGTAGTTCTGAAATTATTTACAATGCCTTATATTTTAGCAAGGTATGGCCAATTAAATTTAAACAAGTTTAAGTGGGTATGAGTTATTTACAGTAAGCAAAGTCAGAGTATTTTTTTCCAGAATGGTTGGTATGCCACTGTGGATAAAATACTTTGACATTTCTTGAACATTTGTGAGTGAGTTGTCTCTGAATTCATTAATCTGATGGCAATCCAGTATATAATGACGCAAAGTATGTCAGTAGTCCATCTGACAAAGTTTACATTTTGTTATGTCCACGTCAACTGGTGATGGTAATGCAACCTCCCAGAGAGATGCTTGTAACCCGGCCGGAGCTGGGCTGTAGTGACACCCAGGAATCTGCTGAGTTTGTTGTTGGATGCGCCATAGTTATGAGGCCCTTCCTATATGACAGAATGATGATAGATGGATTGACTGGTGTCAGTCTCCCTCAGTCTCAAGTCAATGGAATTCATTTGGAGTTTTTTTCTTATTCTCAAACTGCTAACTGACAGCCCAAGATTGTGATCAACTTACTCCATATGCCTTCGCCAATTCATTAGTTCTCTCATGCATTTGAAAACCAATGTGAGATGGAATCCGCGAGAAGTGTATTCTGAATCCAGTCTACAATCCTATCATACCTGGTAGGACTGGAGACTGGATTTTGATACAAGCATGCCACAACTGATACTCAAGGAATTAAGAACATAGAATCAGTTACAATTCAGTTACAATTCATAGACATATTTGAGTGCAAGGAGTATGGCAAGTAGTTCAGTTTCAAGGGTAGACAAGTTATTGATGAGTGTTCCATTTGCTATATGAGAGCCAACATGCTATATGAGAGACAACAACGGCACTAATGGACTGATGAACAGTAGTCAGTATATATAATTATATATAATTTGTGGAAGAGTCCTGTGTGACTAAGGTATCAAAACAACTTTAGGCATCATGCTTGGTTTCGCGACGAAGCTTTGTTGTGATTAAAAAAAAAGTTTTACAGGGGGAAAAGGAAGATATCGTGGTTTTGAATGAGGTAATTTCCCATGGTGCGAAGTGTCGCTGTTGTTTTACTTGACACAGATCATATATCTGATCCATTCGAAGGTCAGTTCCAGTTTTTATGATATATCTGGAAGAGTGCTTTAGTGCTCAGGAAAGTTTGGAGGGCTTCTGTGCAAATGTTTGGATGGGTTTTGCTTGAGCATATTAACACCAATGACAACATTTCTTTCAGTGACACGATCTCAGATGCTTGGAATATAAAGTTCTTTCCACATGTTCAGAATTTTGGTGGTACAGGAACATCGTAGGATGATCCTCATCACTTCGTTCTGCAATTGTTCCAGCTCTCCAAGCTTCCGGTCAGACACGATAGCAAGTAAGGGTGCAGCATAATCAACCAGTAATATAATGTAAGCAAATTAAATAATTTTTCACAATTTTAATATTAACTTTATACCTGGGATGAAAACTTGTCACAGCTCTAAGTGTTCTCAGCCTTTCCTTGTATTGGAGACAAAGTTTTGCTACAAGTCCAAGTAGTGGGACCTCAAGTTTTAGATCCCGTATCTGGTTACACGCAACTAGTTTCTGCGGACTGTGCCTTCTCCTGTCGGGAAGGACGCCTGTTAAGTATCTTCGTTTTCTCAGCCGAGATAATCAACCCCAGGTCCAGACACGAGGCTAGTATATGGTTAAGGATGTTTTGGGTGTAGGAGAATCCGGTGGTGTGAATCTTCATCATCAGCGAAGCTAATCATATAATGATAGCGCTGGCTAGGCATAGCATTCAGTAAAGCATTAATCAGAATAATGAATAAGGTGGGACTGAATTAGGAATCCCACCTACCTGTGAGGTTCCTAATTCAAAGTCTTTATTACATCTCTATGCCCCTGGCATGAAGGTGTAACCTTTAATCCAGAGGAGAAGCCATTCTCCTACATCCATTCTCGTATATTTACTAATGATTACATGTCGGATTTAAGCTCTCAATGTGTAGGGTGAAAAAAGTGGCTATTCAATGATGCACATTCCTTTCATGCATGAAGTCATGCAACCAGTGAGACAGAAATTGTTTGATTTTATGAATAAGACGATTTAGAATAATCATCTCAAATGTATTACATGAAGCAGCTAGTAAGAGATGTTGGGTGAAATGCATTTTGTTGATTGGCTTTTGGAATGGGAATGATAAGAAGCTTCCTGTTACATAGCTAATCTGAGTATGTAGTAATACCATCTTTCCCAGGCGACGTGGATCTGCTTTTAGTTAGTGCAGCATCGAGCTCAAATTTAGTGACGGGAATGTTGCACTAATCTTCCATGCTGAGCATAAAAATAAATCAGTCTCTCTGACATCATGTTTAACCTGTAATTCCGTCTGTGCTATAATGAAGAGATTGTCATAGGCAGACATAGCAGCCCTAGCAAAAACTAACCCATTCTATCTGTGTAGGTTAGGTTAGGTAAGGTTTGTCAGGAAACAGGACAAGTGTTTCCTGACACGGATCTTAGTTATATGATGACCCGCAGCTGGAGTTTTCGGTCATCTGACCGAGGTATAACGGGCTTGTTTCGTAGGTGCTGTAAGCGAGTGGTTAATGATAGACTTCTTCGGAGGCTTCTTACTTTATTGTTAATGTCGTGGTGGGTACACAGGCTTGTGTTGTGCCCATGGCCTGGGCAGGGCCATCCCACGAGAGAGAGCTGGGAGGCCTTGTGTCTTGCTGCTAGGCCGCTGTGTGAGTGAGACGGAGGCATGGGCCGGCAGGCTGGCGTGCCTACCTAGAGGCCTGGCTACAGAGGGCAGCACCTGAGTGGCGCGAAATATGAACTAAGCTGGCAGACAGCATGGGCTGTCTGTGCAGACAGTACAGGCTGTCTACATACGCTCGGCCACCTACTGCGCATCGTCCCGATGCGACAATACTGGTGGTAAAAGAAACTCGGTCTCTCTCTCATAGGAACAAGGCACAGAACACAAAATAAAAACATATATATACATATGAACATGGAAAAAAAAACTTCCTACAGGGAGGGAAGAAAAAAACATGTGGGGTGTGCTAAACATCGTGGTCATAGGCAGTGAGCGTCGAAGGGCATCACTGCACGCCTTCCTGCATCTGGACAGATACTGCAACACGGGAGACATCGCTGTGGCTGAGCTGTGATGTAACAGGTTACGGTCTCCTCTGGAACGGTGAAGCAGTCATTGTAGGAGTCGCTGCAGGTTTCACTCAACCTGGGGCACAACATGCTGGTGCCCTCGAGTGAGGCGTCGACAAAACTCCGCAACTGGGCAGGACTTCTGGCAAGCGACTCAGAACACTTCTCGACCGGTACTGTCGCTGGGCTGTCACTGCCGGCGAGCGTGGAGCGAGTTGTGGAGTGAGTCATGGCAGAGACGACTGGGCGAAACATCTGGGAGTCATAACATCATATACCAGACTGCAGTGAGAGAGCTAGCAGTCAAAGTGACATCTTCTTTGTGCAGGCTGCTCACTGAAGCTTGTGACACGAGGCTGACACAGTGTGTCATTCTCTCTACAGTTGGAGTTATAGCAGAGGTTAGTCTAAGCGTCCCCAGACTTGTTTCTCTACATATAACTGCACTCTGACGATCTGGAGGTGAAGTGAAACAAATCTCGATGGGAATCGTAGCAGGTACGATTCTGCAGAACAACACGAGCGACGAGCATAAAAGCTTTCTGTACAAGAGGGCTCGGTCACTCGGAGCTGTCTTGACATCAGCTGTCAAACGTACTGGTCACACGGGTGACTTAGCACAGTGGTGCTACTCAGGTCTGGCTCAGACCTCACTGGACACACGGAAACTTTAAAAACACACCGCGGTACAACATGGCATGCAATTTTTCGAAAATTTTGCATATTTCATTTCCTTTTTGGCCGATATGATTGAAACTTCAGCACAGGAGGTTTGATGTAAGCTTCTAATAGTACACCAAAAATGAACGTAATCGGTTGAAAAATAAAAAAGTCGACCCCGTGAACCTGACTGCTCCCTTAAACTAGCAAATGATACTTTTCTGTGCATAAAACTGACTCTAAGACATATACTAAAATGTGAGAACACTGACTGAGAGGAATTAATTAACACACGACATATATCTTCACTCAATCTTCTCGACAATACTGAAACAATTACTGAACACTCGATGGTGACATCATGTGATGTCAGGCGTGATGTCGCGAGGTGACGTCAGCAGCACTGTGACGTCAGCAGACATCTCGAGGTGACGTCAGGCAGACATCGTGAGGTGACGTCACCAGACATCTCGAGGTGACGTCAGCAGACATCTCGAGGTGACGTCAGCAGACATCGTGACGTCATGAAGTCGGGCAGCATCATGGGTGACGTCGATGTGATGTGGGCAGCAGACCACAGCATGAGGCCTGGGACATCTGGTAACTCACGTGGCTGGTAGATCCACGTGACATTGCCCACACCCACGTGGCGTCGTGATCTACGTGGCATGCTGATCCACGTAGCTTCGAGTGGCCTCGGGCACTCGGATACACAGCTCTGGCAATGAATCACACGAAAAACAGCAGAAAACACAGCAGAGGGAGTGGGCAGTGGTGAGTGGTGTATGGTAGACGGGTGAGCATGAGTAGGGCGAGCATGGGCAAGGTGAGGAACAGCCACTTCCTCTCCTCTCCTCCCCCACCCACAAATACGTAGAGAACTCACACTGGACACAGAAATCACCACAAAACTCACCTCTGGCTTGCTGAAACAGCTGTGCTGAGCTGAACAACAACAACAACATACAAGTGACGCTGAACACGTGACTTGAGAAACAGCGTGGGACACTAGCGTGGAGTCACTGTAGCGTGGGGTCACTGTGACGCCACTTACAATTCTCGGAGAATTTCGGCAAATTTTGGCCTGGATCCTGCTTGTACCTGTGTCTGGATGCTCAAACGTGCAGACACGACATCAGGATAACTTGTTGAGAGACGGATGCTTCTTGTGTAGGGTGATGAAGTGAAGATGACTTCATACCTCTTCCTCCCTCTCTCCAGGCAAACACAACTGCTGCGAGCACCGCTGCCACCAATATAACGGGCTTGTTTGGTAGGTGCTGTAAGCGAGTGGTTAATGATAGACTTCTTCGGAGGCTTCTTACTTTATTGTTAATGTCGTGGTGGGTACACAGGCTTGTGTTGTGCCCATGGCCCGGGCAGGGCCATCCCACGAGAGAGCTGGGAGGCCTTGTGTCTTGCTGCTAGGCCGCTGTGTGAGTGAGACGGAGGCATGGGCCGGCAGGCTGGCGTGCCTACCTAGAGGCCTGGCTACAGAGGGCAGCACCTGAGTGGTGCGAAATATGAACTAAGCTGGCAGACAGCATGGGCTGTCTGTGCAGACAGTACAGGCTGTCTACAGAGGCCTTCTGCTGGCTTACCGGTTCACCCCTTTAAAAATTAAGGATATATATATATAACCATTCTTGATCTATGTTCTGTGTAGAGAATCTGATCAGTCCTGTTTCCCCTAATTCTATTTATACCTTTAAATGCCCGGCTAAGTAGGATGTTGTCATTGAGACCAGTGACATGTGTTTCACAGGGTGTTTTCTTAGGCTCTGTAATACGCTCCCTGGCAACAGCAAGGACAGTATGAAAGAGCTTCAGCATTTCAAGGGTACGATTTTTTTATAGGCTAGGCCTAGTCTTCCAGCAGTATATTTCAGTATTCGAAGTTTAGGCTCACTGTAATAGAAAGTACCGCTATTAGTGCCAGGAAGCAAAGGCAGTCGATACGAGTTAAGAGGCAAAGTCAGGAGCTATGGCTCAACTCCCCTGCAATTACAACTAACAAGTACAACACCCTATACACATCGCCATGCAAAAGAAAGACTCCACAGTTATAAACTGAGAAAAAAAAAAGAATGCTGAAAAGATACTAGAAATGTTTTCTTAACAAATACGGAGGAAAAGTATTGCAATGGGATACAGAAGATATTATGTACAACTGCAGAATCTTTGAACACCTGTATGACAGCCTACCGCACCCAACACACTCCTCAAAAGTAATTTCTATTTAATACTTAAAAAATGCATTAATTTCGTAAATTCGCTTAAAGAATATATGACTTACGCCCATTCACAGCATTAGATTGTCCCGCAGCTCGATTGCTACCGCACTCAGCTCACACGTTGAGGTCCGTGGTTCAGTCCTTGGTACTGCTGAAACATTAGGATGTTTCCTTAAGACACCTACTGTCCACGTTCACCTAACACCCAGGTGTTAGTCGACACCAGTCGACTAACACCTGGGTGTTAGTCGACTGGTGTGGGTCATATCCTGGGGATAAAATCGACCTAATTTACCCAAAATGCTCTGCATAACAAGGGGTTTCCTGTATTGTAGTATGTCATTCATGTCAGCCAGGTCTCTAAACATAAAGAAATAAAGATTATTATTATTATTACTCCTGATTTATGCGCACGCGCGTGCGTGTGTGTGTATTCACCTATTTGTAGTTGATGGCGTCGATTCATAGTGCGTATGAAGTAGTATACTCTTTATTATTATTAATTTAAAAAGCAATACGTGTGTAAGTAATTCTGCGTAGAGTAGTGGAAGCTGGATCCCACGGTCACCCGAGAGTCAGACAGACATGCTGCCTAACAGCACAGGAGACAAGACCCTCTACAGTTTGGTCGACTCTGTGTTTACCGAGACCTGAGAAGCGGTGACAATGGACGGGAGATTTGTCTGCCAGAACTTCCTCACTGCCCGCAACACATTGCTCCTGCAGGTGAAGGCCAGAAAGATGAAGACTCCCTGTAGCGTGTTGAGCACCACGAAGATGTACCAGACTGACTCCAGCTGCAGGTAACCAGCTACGATTCCGGTGATCCACGTGAGTCCCATCAGTACAGCCAGACGCACGTACATCTGCAACCGTTTATTGTAGTGGGAAGATGAGCTTATGCGAAGCATCGACTCTTTGCTGGTACTGATAACGTATGCAGTGGCAAGGAAAAATACTGCATTAAGTACCATAACTACGAGTAGTGGAACCGCAAAGAACACCAGCAGGGCTTTACGCTGACCAAACCAGCACCAGCGTTGACCCAAACTTGGCAGAAACCCTGAGGGAAGGCCTGCAGGGGCAGTCTGATCAAGAGCCACAGTGACGAACACAGCGAGGGCTGGGAGCAGCCAACTGTATACTGAGTACGCTAAGAACTTGCTTTTTTGTTTCCCAGATGATACTCGTAGTTCACCTATAGACTGTCGAATTGTTTGCCAAACATCGAAGGCAATTATACTCATCCAGCAGAAGGAGGCGAGGAAAGAATAATACATTAGGGCGGCCAAGATGTAACATCCTGTCGTTCCAGACTCAACGAAGGTGCTGACAATGAAGATGGTATAGGCGGTGAGAAGAGATAAGCAGAGAGACGCCATAGACTTGCCCGGGAGATTCCTAAAATGAGGAACAAGAAGGAAGGCAGCCAGATGCAGCAGGAGACACAGACATGACAGCCCAAGACCCGCCAGTGTCATCCATCCCATCACATGGGAGAATTTTTCTGTGGGTGAGTGTGGCGCGCATACCACCATCCCTCCCTCAACCACCTCATACTCGCCACGATTATATACCCGGTCATATTTCTCCACAACCAGGCTACCATTGTCACTTTTGTCATACTCGTGCTCGAAAAGCAATGCCTGTAAACATGTATTATTTGTACCACGTGACTGTGGTGTAATGTTTCTTAATTCCATATCGACAATGGCCACACGGAATAAATGGGCGTTACTTTCATTAAGGTGCTGCTGAGAGAAGGAAGTATTGGAGGAGGCAGTTGTTAAAGTCGTAAAAGAGAGACCATCACGACTGCTGCCGGATACGAATTTCTGCTGCTTGTCCCAACACGTGATGTCTCGACATTTTTTAGTGAATATATCCCAAATTCCGCCGTGCCCACAACTGAAAATGAAGCCAACCTCGTTATTCCCACATCTGTCTGTAAAGTCAACGAGTATCGTGAAAGGTGTTGGTCCTCCTGTTGGTCTTGGTGAAGTTCGCGTCGGCTGTGTCACTGGTAGTGTTGGTGGTCTTAGTGGTGTCATTGGTGGTCTTGGTCTTGGTCTTGGTGAAGTTAGCATCGGTGGTAGTGTTGGTGGTCTTGATGGTATCACTGGTGGACTTGGTGGTATCATTGGTGGCCTTGGTGGTATCGTTGGTCTTGGTGGTATCAGTGGTGGTCTTGGTGGAATTTGCGTCGGTCGTATTATTGGTGTTGTTGGTCGTGCTCGAGGTCTTGGTGAAATTAACGGCGGATGGGGCATTTCAGACACCGATGTTGATGGTGGGCCTGGCAAATCATCTGATTTAGTGACGAAGATTCCGAAGGAGGAAGTAGTTGTGATAATAATTGCAGGTGATGCTGGAGCAATGCAGGAAAGGTTGTCGCGATTTTCGTTATTACAGAGTGCGCAGTGGAGATTTTTATACGTTGTGCTCTGAGTCTGGACCAGGGCAGTGTAAGAGTTGCATTGTTGTTGTATGTGGTGTTGTCTCCAACCTGTACCACACTCACCTACCGAAGGTCTGCACATCCTTTGCTGCACACTACTGGGAGCCTGACTTTCTATGTTACACTCGTGGAAAACCTTTAAGCCGTTATCGTCAGAATATATTCCCCAGGAATTATCGATCATCTGCAAATGACGTAAAGAATCTTGCTTTACGGGATCCTTTGTGCCATTCACTTGGAGGGAGGGACACACCAGACGCACCTTCCACAAGGTGAGGTTGTGAGAGTCTTGATTGCAGATGGCGCAGTAGTAGTTGGTGTAGGTGACGGAGGTGATGCTAGTGACGGGGAGGTTACCCACTGGGTCAGCGCTGCTGGAAATGTCAGCAGGGGAGCCAGCCTCGCACAACCTGGCTACCTCCGCGTCCTGCCAGCCTGCCCTGCAATTTCCCTTCATGTGAACGCCTCCACCGGACAAGCTGACACACGTATATTTCTGTGCTTCCTGGCTGCGGTAATGGGCAGCATCCAGACAACAGTCACCATGATAAGCACACGC